GCATTTAAATTATTAAAATAAATTTCATGACATGCATCGATATAAAATAAGATTTTCTCATTTAAACGAAAGAAAGAAATTAAAACTCGAGAAATTTGTGATAAACAGGGATGGACAGCGAACGTACAGAAGCATACATCGGTATTTCATCGTGGTAAGTAGTATTGCTCTGTGACTGGTCAGACGCAGGCGTTCGCGGTTCCGAACATTACCACTTAGCTTTAATGAAAGAACCTCATTAGAGAATTGCATTTCCCTATGAACGTGACGTGTTTGAAATCGCATAAAAATTATTGTGGGCTTTGCAAAATTTTGATAATAATCTTTTTTTTTCATTATCGATCTTATATTTATTTTCTCTCTCACATTTGCGAATTTCATTATGAATTCAAAAATTAATTATTATTGATGCAGAACGTGGTAATTATGCTAATACAATTTCGATTCGATAATACAATTCGAATTAAACGTTTCCTTTGAACCCTTGATAGAAATGTTTTTATATCGCGCTTCGAAATCAAATCTGATTTATAATAAATTTGTTATCAAGGACACCCTTTTGAGCAATTTTCATCTTTAGAGATTTTAATCTTTTTTTTTGTTAAAAAAAAATATTACAAGAAATAGATGACGAATGATCGAAACGTGGATATCCATTGTTTTAAAAGAAATTATTCAAGTATAAGAAATTATTCAAAGTATAATATTACGAAAGTCGTAAAATTCTCTTAAATAATAAATAAATAAAAATTCTGTCAAGTAATATGTGAATTGATAGATCGAAGACTTCTTTCATAATCTTTTTATGTTTTGTGTATGAACACAATTAGACGAATGATTTGTTTCTTACTATCAAGAGCAGTTGGAGTATCTTTCTCCTTTTATTATTATTTAAGTTTTGGAAAAAATGTTGTAATTTTATTTGTAAATACAAAAAAAATTAATTTCAATTGTATGCTTCTTTCTTCGAATATATACAATATATTGGTAATGGTATACTTGTTCGATTTTTCAAATTCGTGCTTATCTTTGTTAATTAAAAGAAAGAGAGAGAGAGAGAGAAAGAGGATGTCTTGAGCTTGTACAAATCTGATATTTGAAATAAATTTACATCAATGACGAGTGGAAAATGTTTGGCTTACTGTTAGTCTCAATGTTAACTTTACTACTATTCCATCTGGCATGATTGCAATCTGGAAACCAGTTGTCTCATATTGGAATTAGTACGGCAACTTCCATCGAGTATTCTCTCGAGAGGGAAAATATGGATAGATCTGAAAATACAGAGAGCGTGATAAGTGTTCAAACGGATTCTCTCGGTCTCGATATCTAAGTTTCATTAGTAATTAACGATCTCCGTTCGCTGTTAACGAAGAATCATCAGAATTTAATAGGAAATCGGGACATTTTAAGATATTTGTCTTTGTTAAATTAGAAAGTTAAAAAAGATAAAATCGAATTGGAAAACGTTTATTAGAAAATAAATAATTTACACGTTTATTTTTTTTTCTTGTAATTTTCAATTTTAACAAATTTTAATTTATTCTCGTTCATTGCGGTTTTAAATTTCTAAGCGCAGAGATATTTCTTTCAGTTGTGAAAGTTATAAAGTCACTTCAGTTTCTTGAGAAATATTGCAAATGTAAAAAATTTATATATCAATTATGAAAAACAGTAAAACATTTTTCTCTTTCATTTTTCTTTAATATTTAGAACATTTGAAAGAAGAAGATTGGCTAAGCATGGACATGTTGTGTGTGAATGGATTAAGATAAAAAGGAATTTTTGAAGTTTCATGGCAATTAGTCAATTTTTTCTTGAAACTGGGAAATAGAGAAACCATCATTCAATTGCCAATATTTTTGAATATACAAGGATTACATTTAAGGATTTAATAATAATTGAGAATCCTGATTCCTTAATGATTAGAGTTTGACATTCACTTTGTGGATGCTGAAAACTCAACTGGAAATGAATGAAAATGGAAGGAATTGTATGTTTTAGTTTAATAGAATCATTTTCCTCAAAATAACATTAAATATTGAAATAAAGAAAAAGTCAAAATTTTATAGAAAATTAAATAAGACTAGGAGAGAAAAATAGAAAAATGGAACATCAATTTATTTTGAATAACAGAGTTGCGAATAATAAAATGAAAAAATATATCTAAATGCACTACATCTGAATTGACAATGCTAGAAAAATTTTCATTTATGAAACTTCATCTAAAACTGCATTTTGAGATTTTCTGTATTTCATATCTTCCAAAGTATAAATATTAAATATTTTCGAAATTACCTGGGTCAAAATAAAATATTTATAGAAAAGAAAAAAGATGAAGGAAAAATGAAATAGAAGAAAAAAAGAAATATTTTAAATTTAATGATATTAGAATCTCAAGCAATTATAAATTTCAATTGTTTACAATACTTAATAATTAAATCTTAATTCTTATATGCCTTTTTTCTTTGTTTCAGAGTTAATATTTCTACATATATTAATTATGATCAAAGACATTATACAACATATATATATATATATATATATATATATATATACACAAATATGAAAATTCTTATACATTATTTTATTCAATATATGTAACAATGTAATAAGAATATAGAATTAATACTTTCAAATGGATGCTTTTGCTTCCAATAGAGTTCTGTTATTTGAAGCATTTTAAGAAAATAAGATATAATTATATCACGTAGGACTAATAGCCAATTGGCGTGCTCGGTCGACAAAGTGTTAATATAGTAATATAATATATTAAAGATGAAAGGTTAATAGAATAATGTTTGAATAATAATAATAATATAATAATAACGACGAAAAATTAAAAAAACATTGTGGATTCTACTTTTCACTTTCTTAAACATTATGATTCATCATAATGTTTAAGAAACTGAAATAAATTCTATATTTATTCTATATCAAAAGAAAATTCGTAAAATTAAGAAAAGTCAGTTACAAATGCGTCGAATGGATTCATGAAAAAAAAAAGATAATAAAATTTCTTTATAATTTTTGTTTGTAAACTAACAAATTTATTGTTTTATATTTATATTATTTGCATAGCTATTTTTCATATAATTTATAATTATATACATATTTAATATATAGAAATTACTTCGAGAAAAAAGTAATTTAATATAAAAAGTTTTTTTTATAACTGGATGTAGATATGGAAATTCTGTCAAATTTAAATTAAATTAAATATTCACTGATATAATTTTTTAATGCATCATTTTATACATCTGATCATTTTTAAAAAAAAATTACTAAACTTACAAAAAATTAGTTTAAAAAAATATAAAGTTTATCCAAACCATTAGAGAAACAAGATACAAGCTAATCTAATTTATAAAGACCTAACCTATTAATCTTTCGGATAATAATAATCCACTAACATCCTCATCATCATTTCTTCTAGAAATATTTTTTTTAGAAATATTTTCTAAATTAATAATTTTTTTCTTTTTTTATAAAAAATGATGGACGACTGAATTAATATGTTTTACGATAAAAATTGAAGAATAATTTTCCAATATTTATTTCAACCGAACCGAATATTTCGATATCTTTAAAAACTCTTATCTTCCCTATTTTTTTTAAAACAAAATTTTTCATTCTCTTTATTAAGTTTAAATAAGCACATATCGAAATCCCAATGCTTCTCTCCATTCCATTTTCCTCTACTTTCTCCCGCAATAAAATTTACACGTCCTTGTGTAATTTGCACAAAAACATAAATTTCTGTTGCAGATTCGATCCCGATATGCGTTACCCGATTTCCTGATAAGCTGCGTTCAGCAATGGATTCAACGATGAACGATACAATCGTACCACGGAAAAGAAAAAATTCGACGAAAACTTAAAACAGTGCTCTACAATTCTCAAGCGATTCCCTATCCAAACCTAGTTTCTCGTTTCTCCTTTCCCATTTACACCAAGCAAATCTTTCTTAAGAATTCTCTCTCTCTCTTTCTCTCTCTCTCTCTCTCTCTCTCTCTCTCGTCACTAAGTCGTCACTAAGTCGTCGCTAAGACTCGGTTCGGAACGTTTCTTGCCTCGGTAAGAATTTCACTTTCGAAAGAAAGAAAGGAAGAAAAGAGAAAGAAAGAAAGAAAGAAAGAAAACGAAAGAAAGATGGAAGCGAAGCCAGAAGCGTGGAAGCAACGATCATGGCGCCACCATCACCAGCGACATCACCATCAACGGTATCGTGAGGAGCAACCACGGCGCGACCAACCACAGCACAAGCAACAACAATTGACCAGGAAACGGAAACACGTGGAACGTTCGAACAACGTTAAAGGAACGTCCCTCGAATGGTAACCGAGCGGAGGGGGGAGGGGAGGAGGCGGATGGTCCATTCCGTAACGTCGATGAACGTAACGAGAGATGCGAAAGGTTCGTTGAGGTAGGGATCGATATTATCGATGTTACCATACACGATACAAGAGGGAATGAAATCGTCCTATTACACCTTCCTATCATGCTCTATTATATCGCACGCTCGTATATGTAAGAAGGGACGCTTGGAGGATGGGGCAACGCGGGGGGCGGAGTGAAACGGAACGGCGTATCCGTCGCGTCGATTATTCGTTAAAAGTCAATTAAACGGTCGCCTCGACGCGATTAAATTTAAGGGAGGGGGGAGGAGGAGGAGGAGGAAGAGGAGGAAGAGAAAGAGAAGAAGGAAGAGGAGGAGGAGTCGCTCGAAGCGGCTCGAATGCTTTCGATGCTCACGCGCGCAATGAGATGGAATGATACGAGTCCAAGATTGCGAGATTGCCCGCCGTTCGAGTAATCGGGGGGAGCTCGAGGGGTTACAATAATTACGAAGCCAATTAAAAAGAAAGTGTCGATCAAGTCGATCAAAAGATAGAGGGATAGAGTGTCGCGCTTTCCCGACGAAGAAAAAAAAAAAAAAAAGAAAGAGAGAAAGAAGAAGTACTCGAGAAAGTGTTTCGGGGTGGATAAAGGGGGGGAGGATGGCCACGGTTCGAGGGGGGACCGTCCAACGGCGATACTTGCCCGGCCTTTTAACGGCCGCTTACCTCTGCGCCTTCGTTTTCTGGATCGATGGAATGCTGCACTGTGCCGGTCAAAGGCCGATAAATCTGGGCGGCGCAAGGAAACGAGACGTTTACATCGCCGGATTCTTCCCTTTCGGCCATCACGTGCCCGAGAGCCACATCGGCCGTGGCGTCATGCCCTCGGTCAAGCTCGCCGTCGATCATATCAACGAGGATCGGATCGTCCTCAGGAATTATCGGCTGCACATGTGGTGGAACGACACGGAGGTAAGCCCGATATATATAATAATTCGAAAGATTTATAAGACAATTAATATATGTATATATATATATATATAATATAATTTAATATAAAAAAAAATTTAATATATATATATTATTATTATATATATATATTTAATAATAATAATATATATATTATATATATATATATATATTATAATAATAAAAATTAATTATATAATAATATATTATATATATAATTATTAATTATAAATACGAATATCGAATTAAAATATACATATACACGTATTCGTATTTTTGTAATATGGAAAATTTGTAATATACAAAATTTGTAATATACAATTATGATTTATTAATTATATAATAAAATATATAAAATATAATAAATATAAATATAATAAATATAAATATAATAAATATATAAAATATAATAAAAATTAATTATATAATAATATATTATATATATAATTATTAATTATAAATACGAATATCGAATTAAAATATACATATACACGTATTCGTATTTTTGTAATATGTAAAATTTGTAATATACAAAATTTGTAATATACAATTATGATTTATGATTGAAGGTAATTGATATATAAATGGATTCTTAAAGTTTCAAAATTTTTCTAATTCGTTTTTTTTGAGATTGGTAATTGTACAATATTTTCAAAATTGAAATTGTCAAGACAGGAAAAAATGGTGAAACTTTGAGGGCGAGTTTCGGTCATTGACGATTTATCGATCGATATATTCGGAATATTCGGAATATTCGGATTGTAATTTTTAACATTATAACTTTAGAAGCAGATAGATAGTGTTATTTTGTATGAAATAATTAATTTATATCATCATCGTCATCGTGGTTTTTTAACTGTAAAAATTACTCTATTTTTGATTAATACTTTCTGTATGATTTTCTTAAAAGAACGAATTTTTTTTAAAATAATTACAATAATTAATTCTCTAAAATATTACAAGTAGCAATAAAAAGAAAGTATTTATAAAGAAAAATTTTGGCAAATTTCAAAGATAATGTTACATCTCAATGATGTCAAACGGCATATTTGATTGTAATAAAAACTTTGTAAAATAAACTGGAATGCTTTAATACATTTCTTTGTGTTCAACTGTCAAGTTATCATAATTCTATTTTATTTTCTGTAAAACAATTTAAACGGGAAAAAATTGTACTTCTTTGAAAGCAGCATATATTCGTGATAAATAAAATATTTTTTATAAGAATTAGATATTTGTAATACAGGAAAGTGTTATGAATATTTGATGAAAGAAACAATGATGATTACATGATAAATTAAACAAATTATTTTACGATTACACTGTTAATGTAGTAAATTATCTTTTGTATATGATATAATAATCAATTTGCTGTCAATAATTGCTGAAAGAAATAAAATTTCGAATGACAGATTTTATTTTTATGGATGAATGATAAATTACGAGATGAAACATATAGTTTATATAATTATTTTTAATCAAAGAATTGTTTTATTAAAATAAAAATCTACGTATTTTTTTTTTCCAACAAATTCTGATATAGAAATATTTTTAAGTCATGCTCGAAATATTATTAAAGTTGATGTCAATATTATTATTGCATTGTAACACGACCCATCACTATCATATATAGTCCATATATTTCAAATCAATTGTCTATTTTGCCATTGATTCTAAATCACAATTGATATTTCACAATTGATTTCTAAATCATATTTGTAAATTATAATTATCATTAAAATTTATATTATGAGAATACATATACGTATCTCATTAAAGAATATATAATATAAAAAAATATATATAATATATAATAAGAATATAAAAGAATATAAAAGAAAAAGAATATATAATATATGTAGTTTAACAAATATATTTTTCTCGGATATATATATTTATGTTGTATACATATGTACAATCGAGCTTTGATAATTCAAACAGAAAAAATTAAAACGATAATGATTTTGTGCTATTATCATCAAAATTATATAAATTCTAATGATGAAAAGTTCATTTTCAATCTGTCTACTTTTTCAAATATTACATTTTTGATTGTCACGTATTTTCAATACGAAATTTATTAAAAATATTGTAAATTTGTATATGTAAAATATTATGGTATAAATATAAAATATATTATAAAATTTGTAAGAATGTTAAATCAATTTCATATGACATAAATGCAAAAAAAAAAAAAAAATAATTTAAGTTTTATGAATATTATGAAAAAAATACAACGAAAAAAATAAAATTGCAATTGAAACAAATTATTCAAATCAAAATGGAAAAAAATCATAATATAATCATAATTGTCAATTCAACAAGAAATAAATATTATTTTTTAAAATAACATTTCCTATCTGAATATTCTGTACCATTTTTCACATTCTATATATCTTTTTATGCATTAATATTAAAGTTATTGAATATATGTCCAATTAAATATGTTGCTTTCTCATTGTTTTCTCAACAAAAAAAGAATTTAAATTATACATTTTTTATTTACTTCACACCAGACTGATTTAATAACTCTTTAACAATTATATATATTATATGTATGCATTTGATATTTATATCATAACATACAATTATTTTTAATGAATTTCGTATCTTATTTTTGCTAACAATTCTTCAAATACATAATTATTTCGAATTACAATGAATGTTGAATCACTCTATATATTCGAGATGCAGAGAAAAAATAGCAAGCACATCCAAAACAAAAATATGTAGCAAATAATACGAGTTTAACGTAAGATTTATATTTCGATCTATAGAATATCTCTCGATTTATAGAGATCCTCGATTGTGATATAATTCAACTTGAAAGAGTAAATTATAAAAAAAAAAAAAAAAAAGAACAATGGAATAGAATAACAAATATCTGAACATGGAAATAATCGAAATAACTCGAATAAAAGAAAAATTCTCCCTTGAATGTAGAGATATTTCGATAAAAACGGAAATGTTTTATTTATTCATATACAGAATCATTAAGTTACATTCAATGGAATATTTTCGTGGGAACAATTTTATCAAGCTGCCCGTACAATTCATGCCGTTCAAATTAACCCCTGAACGCGATCTTACTCGTTTAATTTATTTCCGTTATGCATATTCATTAGATCCACCACTCGTTTAAATATTACCGAAAAACCTATTATGCATAGGGCGGATATCCCGTGAAATCAATTTATTCGAGTATCGTGTTATATACGCGGCATTGTATAATCGGTTCGCATGGAAAAATATCGGATCGAGGATCGATCGATTTAATTTCTCGTTTTTCCGGGCCGTTTTGCCGCGATATCGTCGTTGCATTTTCAGTCTTCTCCCATTGACAGTGAAATGTGTCAAGAGCGAATGGGGAGGGAGAGGAAGAGGGAGGGAGAGGGGGGGGGGAGTTAAAATTACAACAATCGTTTAAATCGCGTATCGTAGTTTTAAATACACTCTTGTCTGCTCGAAGGGATCGGAACAGAGAAAAAAGTTTTAAAAACCACCTTAAAGTGAAGAGATTTATAGAAGGAACGTTTTGTCGAGAACAATTTTGATTCGTTTGATTATTCACACACATTCACACACTTTATGATTCGATTAGATTTCACGATATAATTATATATCGGATCATATCGATCTTTTTTTTTTTTCTGTAAAAGCCAAATTAATCATTCGTTAATCATTATGAATTTTTCAATTTATGCAATTAATATGACAGTATGCGTTTATATAATTTTAAATTGTTTTTTTTTTGCCGATAGTAAAGATTAAAAAATGATACAATTTTGTGCTTGTGACAGATAACACTTCAATGATAAATAAAGATAACAAAAGGATAAAATAAAATATAAGCATGCAATAACGTAACATTTTATTTTAAAATTTTAACAAATTGGCATGATTGATCGTATACACACAAATTTTTCAAAAAAATAAAAAAAATAGAAAAATAAAAACAAAATAGTGTTTTTTTTAAATACCTTTTTTAATCTAATATATTCATTTAGTTTAATTTTAAAAATTATTGATATATATTATTTGAAAAATTCTTTTCCCTTTGAGTAATTAGAGATGTAATATTTCAAAAATTAATTTGAATTAATTTTGGGACTTAATTTTGAAAGTATAGAAATTTTTTTGTGTCGAATAATAAGCGCATGTGTAATAATTTCGTTTTATATTTAAATACGATGAAAAGTTTTCGAGTCAGTCTCCATAGCAATATATATTTTAATACGATTCATATTTATATAATACACACCGATACATTATATAACGTAATGAATTCATATAGAATTCTATAGGAAACGTGATACAATAATATTATGATGTTAAAATCTGAAATAAATCAAAAAATAAAATTTTTTAATTTAAAGTCTCTTTAAAAAAAAAATCGAATTCAAAAATTAAATCTCGATTGAATAATGATAAAATAACTGTGTATGGAGATTGTTCTAAGAGCAAAGATAAATATTGAATAAAATTTCGATTGAAAAAGAGATACATGAAAAAATTTTAATCTTTTAATATGATTTCCCTTATTGTCAATATTCTCACGAAACGTTTAAAAATATGAGTTATTTGCGAAAACATAAAGAATATTTGGTACGCTTCATCGATCGGTTCCCTTTTTAATATCCTCCAAATATCTGCATCTAATTTTATAATTATTCGATTCTGATCGATATAAGAAGAATTTTTATATGAACTAAACGTCACACTTGTCTTTTTAAGTATATAGGTTAATAGGTTTCTAAAAATTCCACACCTCATAAAATTTTTAACAATCTTCCATACGTGACTAAAATTTAAATTATTATAAAACGATACAATAAACATAAATTAAATAATTCGAAATGCTACTTTCTTACCGGAAATATTTTGTCAAGAAGAATAAAAAAAATATTTTTCGTTATGTATTATTATTATATGTATGTCTGATTTCTGGCATAGACAATCATACTTTTGTCTAACCTAACCTGTTAACCAATTAATTGAAAAAT